ATTAGAGTGCAACAAAGACATTTTGAAAAGCAATGTAAGGGGAGAAAATTGCCAAAAGAACAGTGCTTGGTTTGTTTGGTTAGTGGCCAATCCAACTTCATTTTTACTGAGAAAGCCCATATAAAATGAAGTAAATGTAATGCTCTGAAAAGAGACTGGGAGTAAGGAGCCTAACAAAGCAGACTGCTTGGGAGTAATAATACAATACTAGTACAAGCCCATCTTACCTTTGTGTCAAACTAGGGTTATTTTAAATGATGCTGATGCTCCACTGGGAACTAGACTGAGATCATTTCATAAGTCTGAAAAGCTTTATAGTTTTTTACTTGGGCAATGGCAACCTTTAAAATAAAAATGTTAAACAAGATGGCAATGTTTACTTTTTACCCTTCAAGAATATATAGAATAATCATGTTGAAAAATCTTAAATAAAATCTCATGCTTTGAGTATTACATGTTCTTTTCAATGATGTCTCTTTACATAAACTGCTTTGCCCCAATTTGCTTTTGTTTTCATTGTCCCAAATATACAATTCTTGAAAAAAAATTACTGATTGATTTTGCTTATTACATTTACTTTGATTATAAAAGTACAATAATCTGTGCTTATCTTAGTTTACATCTGATCTCACCCAGCGCCACTGTAATACAAGCATATACATCAAATAATCATGAGACTGCCATTTGTACCATGATTTCTATACTTATGTATTCTAGGATTAATAAATCCCCTACAATGTCTAGATTAAAATTAACTTTAGAACAAGACATTTGATATACTAAAGTTAATTTTAATCATTCCCATCATAATCTGTATAACTCTGATATCCACTGTTCCTCCTGTCACGAAGATTAGACTTCTTCCACATAGATTCCTGATGGAAACCAGCACTAAAAGATCTGCCCAGACGTCCATGTTGTTTCTTGGAGATATTGTCTTCACTCTCAGATTTGGCAATTACTTGTCCTTGCCTATCTTGTCTAGCATTTCCAAACTGAAAGTTCCAAGGACCAAATCTTTGCCAGTTAAGTCTCTGAAACGCAATGATGCAATGAAGATTTCCTCCTACCTAATAAAAACAAACAAAAAAAGAGGTCTTCATAAAAAGGTGTGCAGAGATAACTTTTTCAACGGTTACTTGTGGTAGCATTACCTATGAAGAACTTTTGAATATCTGTCTAAGAAACCAGAACCACCTCTCTTATCCACTCCACCCTATTTCAAGTCGCCAGGCTTCAAAAGACTCTTCCTAAAAAGCAAATCTTCTCAGCGATGTAATTCTCCCTTAGAAAACTACACAGACTTGGAACTTTCCATCATATAATATACTACCATCTCTTATATAATGATAGCCAGTAGCTGTATAATGATAGCCAGGCATATCATAGGTTGTGAAAACAACTAAACTCCTGTGTTTGGCAACATCTTTAGCACTTGTATTAGTCACTGAAATTTAACAGCAGTTATTATCACTCAGATGACTTCACCCAAGCAAGTTAAAGCCTCTCAAGCTATACAGTTTTTCCCAGGAAATTTATCTACTAAAAAAACTTTCCTCATCTAACAAACTGACCATAACAAACTTGCCTTCTTTGTCTTTCGATGCTGCAGTCCCCTCTCCAGGTGCCGAATATCCAGGTATTCTGGATTTTGAGTGTTTAGGTCAGTGACAATATCTGCCCACCTAAAGAATAAGACTTGTCATCAAAAATCTTCTACACCAGTAGAATTCAAGCTACAGATACATAATTAATATAATTCTATGCTTTTAAATGTTTGCCTGTGATGCAAAGAGAAATATTTGTATGGATGCACACACACACACACCTCCACACAAAATCAGTATTAATACTAGACATTCAGCTGTGATATACAATCTTAAATTGAAGAACAATACCTAAAGTGAGCAACGCAAACATCACTGCCATTTGTTGTCGTGGAAGATGGTAAGAGGGCTCTAGGTAGACAGACACCCGCACTCCTTACCTCTACAAATTTGCAATTTTAATTGTAATGGGACTATTCCTTTTTTCCAAACTACATGTATACAACATTGTCTACATTTACATTACAATACTTCCTGTATTATTTGTTCCTGTTCTTAGTTACAACCACTCCCTCTCTTAACCTAGCATTTATAGCTGGCTCCTCACAACCCTAAATACACCCTAGTTCTCTCATAGCTTCCACAGCCAATTGGCTTGAGTCCTTCTAGCAGTCAACTCTGCCAATCCAAGACATCCCTTGCCTGCTCAGAGGCTCTCCACAACTCTTAGTTTTTTTTCCCAATCCAACCAAAAACATCCATTCCTTTAATCCACAGGATAAAAGGACTAACTTCTTCACTATTAGAAAAGTGATGCAATGAAAGACACTGCTCAAGAAAGTTGTGGATTGTCCATCACTAGAGATCACAAGAAGAGGTTGAACTGGCCTTGGTCAGGGATGATGTAGGCACAGCTATGACTATGTTCTACCATTGGTATTTCCCATATTGCTGGGTTTTCTGGTTGCCACGAGGCAAAAAGGGAACAGAACCCCAGGGCCACTGGTCGCCCTGCTTTATCCATGGCAGGTTAGTGTTATGTCTTGTGTTATGTCAAGGTTGACTCTGTAAAAAATGGATTTGTATAAAATGGTTTAGATAGGAATGATCCTGCTGGGGGGGAGGGGGCAGGGGTAGAAAGGCTGGTCTACTCTAGATGACCTCTCAAGGCCCCTTCCAGCCCTGCTTCTCTAGGGCTCTAATCCCACACTGGAAACCCTCCAATTAATTATTGGTTGAATTGAAACTACAGAATCTTAAGCAACAGGGAGCATGCATATAAGCCAAAACAGTTTAACAGAAGCCATACCCTGGGACTCTTCCCTGTGCTATTTTAAGCCTCTGTCACAGGAGGCTTAAGGCAGAAGCTGAGGAAGCACATGGTTCAGCACATCAGTCACACTCATGAAAGTGAACTTTTGTGGGGATTAGCTTTATTAACCTTGAATGACCAGCATCCTTTATTGCTGATAGTCTTGTCACATTGGCCAAAATATTCTAAATATTAGATAGAAGGTCTGACAGATTATGAGTTTAGTTGTAACATTTCTAGTTTAAATGTGTTCATGTTGTCAAAATGTTCCATACCTCGGTTCCCTGAGGAAAATTGGGAGGGGCGAAACAGAAATAAGGGTTAAGGGACACTGAAGCTAAAGCTACCTGGCCTACATGATGGAAGACCCCTCAGACACAGACGATTAACACTGTGACAAGGTAGTGACACCAAACAGGTCTCCAGGGAAGCTGAGAAAGATAAGCATCCCGATGGAAGGAAGAAACAGCCTAAAAATAGGATCTGGCCTAGAAAATTAAGATTATGAAGCAAGTCAGAAGTAGAGAAACAGCTGAGCGAATTGCAGGGTGCTCAGATCTGTGCAGAATAGACTGGAGACAGAGAGATTACTTCACTCTTTGGAGTGGGCAGGATTGTCTTATCGTGTTGGCTTTGTTGCAGCTTGGCACTTAGTGTGTATTCCAATCCCCTTTGAACAGGTAGGGCACGTCCAGACAAGCGTGCACGTGCCTCTTGCCCCGTCTCAAACCCCTTTGAGACGGGGCAAGAGGCACGTGTGGGAATGAGAAAATTAGACCCCTGGATATCCAGGGGTCTAAAAAACCCGAATTTTAAAAGAGGGGAAGAAACCAGAGGCTGGGTCCTCCAGGGAGATGCTCTGGCTGCCAGAGCATCTCCATGGTTGACCCCTCGCCCTGGTGCTGAAGCAGCATGCTTCAGCACCAGGACTCCAGAGCCGGTGAGTAAGGGGCTGGGGGGGCTGGAGGAGGGAATTATGGGAGGGACCCCCGCCGGCCCCCTCAACCCCTGCTCCCTGCCCCTCCACCCCAGCATGCTCACTTAAAAAAAACAAACAACCAAACAAAAAATCCCGGCACTTACCAGCAGCTCCAGCTGCAGTCAGGATCACTTGGGGCTCCACCTGCACAGCAGGGGGCAGAGGTACTGCCCCAGCAGCCCCAGCCCAGGCCCTCCTGCCCTGTGCTGCCCAGGAGGGCTCTGCCAGGAGGCCCCGGAGGGCCCCCCCTCTGCTCCTGGGGTAAGCAGAGGCTTTTGGGGGGGGGGGTGTTAAAGTGCTGGTGCCTGGGGTTGGGGAAGCAGCCGTTGGGGTCTGGGGGTGCAAGTGCGGGAG